AGTGCTCTTGAGGTCGTCTCAGAGTCACTGATTTAATCCTGGGACCCTCCCCATCTTCTGGACATCTTGTTAGTGACATATAAACTTCTTTATTGTTTATGACATTTTACTGGAGAGAGAATCCCAACTGATGGATATGTCACGAGGTAGAGTTGGACCATGCCAGGCCAACATATGACAAAGCAGTGACTGAGGTATATGACAAAGCCAGTTGTCTAAAGAATTAATACGCAAGGGATGCAGAGATATTATGAATGAGAAGGCACAGGGCTGCCTGCCTGATCCCTCAAGCTGCCTTACTATAATAGTTCCAGTTCCAATTCTAACCCACATGTAAACTCATGTATTAAATAATTCAAGTGAGTCTGTGGTTTGGAGCAGTGATTCTCCAACTTTAACGTGCATATCAATCACCTGATGATGGTTCAGTGGGTGTAGGGTGTGGGGTTCTATATTCTGCCCCCCCCTTTTTTTTTATAAGCTACCAGGGTATGCCAACGCTGCTGGTCTCTAGGCCACAATTTGAGTAGAGAGGGTTTCTAACTAAAAGTACCAACCTAAAAAGTACCAGTGGATGGTTTACTGTTTTACATTATATTTCCATACATATAAGACCTACTATGGAGTGTGAGTGCACCCAGAGTGTAAAATGACTTCAGGTCTGCAAGACCTAAAATACAGACAGGCCGCCTCTGTCCAAAATCAAAACCTTAACATCCAGACCTGGTATCTTGGAATGTTTATATGAACTTTTGACCCCTGAAAAGTACACATTCATAGGCTGCTGATGGCGATAATTACTCTAAAAGATTTATGAATGCAACAAGTTTTAGGAAAATCTCTCCAAAGGAAGGCATTTCTCCAACCATTGTAAATAAACCCAAAACAGATCTGCAAATCTGAACACAAGCTGTTTTTGCAATGCATCTTGCAAAAGTCAACAACCACATCAATTGCTTTTGGATCAAAAAATCTTTTTTAAAAATCTTTTTTGGTAAGTTTTTAAGTTAGATCCATATTCCACACCACACAATAAAAAATACTGCAGATGAAATAGAGTTAACCATAACATACAGATCAAACCAAAAACCTACTGGAGGAAGACACAGGTGAATATTATTTGATATGAGACTGTGAAAGGACTTTATAGAGATAAAAGGAAACAAAGAAACCCAAGTAGGAAAGACTGGTACAGTTCTTTACATTCCTTTTAAATTCTAAGTCTCAAATAGCACCATAAACAATATTTAACAACGACGTGAGGAAAATAAATGCTACAAATAAAGCAAAGGGCTAGTAAAAGTCATTTAAATACATAAGAAAAGCACTAAAATCCTAACAGGAAAAAAGTATAGAATATGAATATATCAGGATGGGGTAAGCACCCAGGGACCCAAGGTGATCACTGGGGTGTGTGGGAAGAAAATATTAGGACTATTTTTTAAACTGTCCTTTAAAAATCTCTACTTTGGGGAATGTTTTATAATGTGCATATATTTGGACAATACTGCATAAATGAATACGAATATATGGAGAATGAAATTTTTTTCAGATAGGGGTATGAGAGCCAAAGTTTGAAGACCATACTAACCTAATGACAGATTAAATGTTTAGTTTTCCTACTGAACAAAGAAATGCAGAAAACAATAAAAAAAAATTTTCCCTATGAAATTAGGAAAGCTGTCTTTTTAAAATCTTAGTGATTACTGTTTGATAAGGATACACAAATGCCCTGCTAATGCAGATATAAACAGGCAAAATTCTGAAGAGTGGTTTGGAAAAATGTGTCAATCAAAGGCTTAAAGATGCTAATACCTTTGGATTAGAATTGCCCAATTTAGCAAAATGCATGGGACATGCTTATTAAAAATTTTTCACTGCTTGTCTAAAATTCAAATTTAAGTGAACATCCTGTATTTTGTTTGTTAACCCTATTTTAACTCTATAATACCACTTTAGGACTCTATCTTAAGGAAAGAACTAAAGACACATATTTGTGGACAAAGACATTCTCTGCAGCAATGCCATATATTAGTGAAAGATTAGAAATTATCTCAATGTCAATATTAGAGAAATGCTCACACAAATTCAGGCACATCTATCCAAGGTGAAAACTCCATAGTCACTGTAAACTACACAGTAAAGAAGAAAAAAAATCAGCTATTCTCTGTACTCTGGGCACACTGGGCTTTTGTAGGGGAAGACACTTCAATGAATCTCTTGGTTATGTGTGGTCGGGTCCTGAGCGGAGCTGAGAGGGAGCATTTAAAATAAGAAGGTGCAAAATTGCTCTGCAGCCTAATGAAGTGTTCAGCGAACAGTGGAGAAGGCTCTATCTGGGAGTTACCAAAGGAAACAAGGCACATGGTGACAGACCACCCCAAGGTCAGAGCGAGTCAACAAGTGACTCTCAGAAAGGGATTATGGCTGACAGAAATTGGGAATGGTAACGTCCAATATCCTATATTTGGTTTTAAGTTTTATTTTCTGCCCTGGAATATCCTCATGTAAGATCACCATCCCTTACTTGCAATTCTAAAACCCAGAAAAGCTCTGAAAACCAAAAGATTTTTTTGTTTTGTATAACGTTGGTGCCAAATTTATTTGGCAGCAAAACCTGACCTGAACCGGCAGGAGAATATTTACAGTCTTTCTTTATCCTACTTCATGTGGATACTTGTAAGGTTTTCTAAAGAAATGTGAATGTGTTTCCTGCCCTGTATCTGCTAGAGATGGTATATATTATGCAATATATATGCACCGTCTCACCTTTCTAAAGTTTAGCAAGTTCTGAGTTCTAAAACACATCTGGACCCAAAGGGTTTCAGAATGAGGGACTGTGGACCTGCAATTTTCTGAGGCTTCGTATTAATAGACTTCTCTTTAAACACTGCAGCTTGAGTCAGCAGTGCTAGCAGGAATGAGGGGAGAGGTCGGTGTCCATGCCCGGGGTGAATGAACCACAGGAAGCTGCAGCTGTACAGACAGGTGGGCAAGGCGGCCAGAGATGCCTGGGGAGAAGCCAGGATCAGCATCACGGAGCTGGGAATCCAGTAACAGCCAGAGGGCTCCTCTGCTGTAGGGAAGCCAAGAGGGACCCTTATGCTGTAGGAGAGGAAAGAGAGAACTACTAAAGAAAGCCATTTCCCCCTTTGCAACTCCCAACCATGCTTTTAAACGAATGAGTGGAGAAGCAATGGGGGTGTCTATTGTTACGCGCACAAGTCTGAGACGACCACCAAGGACTGTCTTCATTTGAAGGAAGAGATGAGGAGAAGGTTTTCAAACCTAAACTGTAACAGGTCCATCTGAGACCCACTCAGTAACCTTCTCCACCTTCCTCTCTATGCAATATCCGCTTATTTTCATTTTCTATCGATGCCTTAACAAATTGCCACAAACTAAGTGGTTTATAACAACACAAATGTATTATCTTACAGTTCCAGTGGTTGGAAGTCCAAAATGGGTCTCACTGGGCTAAATTCAAGGTGTTGGCAGGGCTGCGTTCCTTCCAGAGGCCCCAGAGGAGAGTGCCCTTTTCTAGCTCCTAGCAGCTGCCTGCATTCCTTGGCTCTTGGCCCCCATCCATCTTCAAATCCAGCAGCAGAAGGGTCGAGCCCTTCTCGAATCACAGTCACTCTGACACTGACTCCGTCGATAAGGACTCCAGTGATAACACTGGGCCCACCTTGATAATCCAGGCTACTTACTCTCCCTACTTTAAACTCAGCTGATTAACAACCTTAATTCTACTTGCTATGTCCCCCTTTGCCACGTAAGATAACTTATTCACTGGTTCTGGCAATTAGTATGTCAGTATCTGTGGGAGGCCATTATTCTCCCTACCACACTGGTATAGGTATATTACAGAACAGCAGGCTGACAGCCTACATAATGAAAATATTAAATAACACATGTAATGAATGTAATAAGGAATTCTTCTGTGTTGAGAGGAAGGCATGGAGATGAGGCTACTGACAGAGGCCTCCTGAACAGGAAGTAGGCTAGGACATCTGGGATGTAACCTGTAACAAATGACATGGCCTATCAACAAGGGGGTCTCAACATCCTTGGTCTGTGGTTCCAGCATCAAGCCCTCCCTCCCAAGTTTTTAGTCCCTTTCCTGCCTTCCTAACTCTATGCACACTCTCCAATTTTGACTCAGGTTTACAAGACTCTAGCTTTAGAAGAATTTCTCCCAGATTTCATCCTCAAACTCAGCTTAGGTCATCACATGCTTCGCCTTGCTCCCCAGGTTCCTCCCTCCAGCCCTCAGCAGGCGAGATCCTCGCCTGACCCATTCAGATAGCACTAGTCTCTTAACGTTGACTAGCTGGTCTCCACAGGGAGAAAGATGGGTAACCAAAGCCACATATGTACAGCTTCCCCTAGAGACGAGCAGGTGTACGGGTTTAATCTAGAAAGAACAGGAGGAGAAAGAATGTAAAGAAAGCTACATTCTATTGGGTTGTCGGAAAAGTCACGACACATTTTTGCAACGAAAAACAAAGAAAAAACACATCATGACTTTTCCGACAATCCAATATAATACTCTAGGGACAGGAAGCATTTCTAAGGCAAGAAGGTCTGAAGAGTAGGGGCAGCAGTAAAGGAATGACTGAGATGATAAAGTTCTAGTCTGTTGTAAGGAACACAGAGCAGAGGATACAGCTGAGGGTAGACACCCCAGCTAGATGTTATAACTCAATAAGCAGTACATGTAATTCGGAGAGGGTGGGGGGGATCTTTCATGTTTGCCCTCCCCTAGCCCAGGATTTCCCCTTCTCAGGACAGAGGGGCTGGAGTACACAGGTAGCTTAAGCTGTTTCACTGGGTTCTACCCTCCTCCTGGGAAGGACCACCCTGCGGGGGTTGACCAAAGCTGGATGGGAAGCAAGAAAAGACTGGAGGGTGCGCAGAAGCAGTAAGAGCCGCGGGCAGTGGTGGAACTTCATGGGCTCCGTGATTCTGTTCCCCACACAGGCCACGGGCCTACTCACCAAGCTCTCCTGGAACCACTCCTTTATGTAGGCAGCTGTGGGGCCTGGGATCTGGCTCAGGAGGGCTGCTTTCTCCTGAGGATACTCCAGCATCTCCAGGGCCAGCCTCAGGTCCTCGACGAGACGGAGCACTGGGAAGGGGTTCATGTAGGGCGCGGGGGAGGCCAGTCCAGGCTCACAGTTACCATCGCTAATATCTGCACCTGTTTTAGTGCCTGGAACAAGAGAGAAGGCGGGAACCTTGGTAAGAAGGGTGGACGCCATGGGCAGGGAACTGTAAAGAGCAAAGGCAGTGAAAGGAGATGGGGAAGAGATGCCTAAGAAGCCTAGACGACCACTTCGGCCTCAGCAGAATCACTCCCAGAGTCAACTTCGCAGAAACCATCTTGAATCCTGGGCTGGGCATGACAGGACGAGATCTGTCAGAGGCAGGCAACTGTGCCCACTGGGACTGACATATGGAAGCTCATACCCTTACCACACCTGGGAAAACACAGCCAGCCCTCACCAGTGACCAAAGACACACCAGCTAAACCAATGAGATGCCATTCTTCAGCCTTTAGATTCATACGCATGCTTTCCTTTAAGTTAATGTGGAAGGTTGTCTGCACAGATGGCCACCGAAACTTCCTCCCACCTTTGTATACGCATTCCACTCCTCCCATCCAAGGTGGTTCCTGACGCTGCGCTGGCCTAGTGACTTGCTCTGGTCAACAGAAGGCAGCGGAAGTGATGCCATGCCAGTTTGGGTGAGGGTTTAGCGAACAGGACTCTTTCTGGATCTTCCCAGCTGGGAGAGCTCTGTATCCCCTGACTAGCTCATGCTTTTAACCTGTCTTAACTACTCTGTATATCTGCATCTCCTCTCCCCATTGTGGGCTGTGAAGTGTCTGAGGGCAGAGTCCCTGTCATAGTTAGCCGAGTTCCTAGCACCATGCGCCTGCCCAGTAGATGCTGACGGGGAATTGGACTGAATGTCTGCACATATGCTTGGATGACTAGCTAGGAGGAAGAGTGCTTGGTCAGCTCTTTCTAATCTGATATGTCCCAAATAGGACTGTTTTTGCTTTTCTAAACTCCACCATTAAAAAAAAAAAAAGTCATCTTTGCATATATTTTTGAAACCAAAACTGGGGCGACACAGTCTAACAAAGGATTTGCAATTTCCATGCCTCTTTGAGCAGTAAGAAAACACTTCAGAAAATATGGTTTAGACAGCAGAATTTCTAGGGCATTTGGATTGTTTATAAGGCCAACAGGATAAAATATTTGAAATCAGGCTTCTGCTGGAAAATGTGGGCTGTACGGCCACCACATGCCCGGTTACACTGCAGGCCTGACGTCTAGTTCCAGGTCCCTTTACTCTCCTAGGAGCCAACTTCCTACTTACCGTGGCAGTCCCTGGAATGAGAAATCCACACAGAAGGAAACAATTACCATCTGATTGCCGGGTTGCTTTCTGAAAGTGCAGGATAGAGGGAATCGTGGATCACAACCCACAAGCAAGTCCGTGGCTCTGGGGAGCTAGGAAACTGCCCGATTCCCCACACTCTGGTGGGTGCTCAGCACTCTGGCTCCTACAAAACCAATTTAGGGTTGGCTAGGAAGTGCCCTCGCCGAACTTCAGGCAAGAGAATGGACAGAAGCAGAGCAGGACCCCCAGTCTCCACACAATTGCTGAGTAACCCCTCTCCATCCTGCACACACTCTACTATACACACACCAATACACACACCCCTTCACAAATATAGAATGAGTCAGGCCAAAGGCAGGTGAGGAGACTGGGGTTTTTCATTAACTGTGTCACTCTGTGGCCTTGGATAACATAAAACGGAAAAACAAGCACAGGCATACCTGGATACCAGTAATTATAACAATTATAAACGCATTAAACTCATCTATTTTAACTCAAATACTTGAATAATGAAATGAAAGAAATCCAGTTCTTTGATGTTATCAAGAAAGACATACAAAAAATTATGACACTGAATGACTAAAATATAAAGTGTTCAAAAAGACAAAACTATTCAGGTATTTTGATCAGACTGTTACACACACACACACACAGCCACTGGATAAAATGATAAAAAGTAAAATTTAAAATCATCTGAATAGTTCTATAAAAATCTGAACCATAATTAAATTTTTCCACAGAGAAAATACCAGACCAAAATACTTTTACAAGTTAATTCTATCAAACCTTTAAGAAATGAAGAATTCTAATCTACTTTCTTCAGTATAGAAAACAAGGGAATGCTCCCAGCTCAGTCAATAAAGAGAGCCTGACAGTACAACTTGTAGATCAGAGTGTGAATGGTGACTCTGGAATTGTGCAAGTTGGCAGTCCTGAGTACTACAAAGAAAAATTACAGACATTCTCACTGATGAACTTAGATTACCAGTTCCTAAACACAAATTTGCAAAACCAAATCCCAGTGTGTAAAAAAGATAACACATTGTAACCATCTCCCTTGGGAATGACAGATCAAGCAGACCCAAAAAGAAAATTAAAAATAAAGAAGTGATATATCAGAGCAACAAGGGACATAGAGAACCATGCCCCAGGCAACTAGAGATGGCACATTGTGTTCAAGCACACATTAAGCATTTTACCAAAACTGACCATAGACGAGGCCATACAGGAAGTCTCAACAAAAATCAGGAACTGCTATTAGGGATTGTATTTCCATATTTCTGTGGGAAGGAAGGGTGGTTTCAATCTCCTGCTCCCCCTCATTCAATTTTTTCCTCCAAAGGAGGAGTGCCACTTTTGACGACAGAGCTGAAAGAAGGAATCCTCTCTAAAGCCACCCATTCCTGGATGCAAACATGATCCTCGGGGATGCTTTGTGAGACCAGCTCTGCCCCAGCAAGGGGGAAATCTGTAGTTTGGGATTAAGTTCAATTTGGGGTGTGTGTGTGTAGGAAGGGTGATAATCAAGATCCTAATTGTGGCTAACTTTCCTAACCAGTAAAACTCATAATAATGTTGATATTTTGGTCTCCCTTTATCTGACTTTTGTCTATTCCTCAGCTGGTTTAAAACTAAGAAGGGAAATTAAGGGATTATGTTTATTGATCATGGTGCTAGGCAGAATAATGACACAATGCCCCCACCCCCACCCCCACCCCCACCTCTGCCCACAGATATCCACATCCTAATCCCTGGAACCTATGAATGTGTTAACCTTATGTGGCAAAAGGGACTTTACAGATGTGATTAAGAGTCATAAGATGGGAGATTATCCTGAATTATTATCACATGGTCTCTTAAATCAAGAAGAGAAAGGCAGAAGATTGGGTCAGAGAGATGTGATATGAGGGCTCTACTGGCCACTGCTGGCTTTGAACATGGAGGAAGGGGTCCATGAGCCAAGGAAGATAGCAGCACTATACCAACAACAGTGCAGGCAGTAGCAGACTAGTTGTACAGAGAAAACCCTCCAAGAACACCCAAAGATGCAAAACCACATATACACACACTTTTTAAAGCAACAGAAGTGAAGGAAATCATCAGTTCAGAACCTTAGGGGTAAGACAGCATTTGAGCTGGTGTTTGCCCTGTAGGCCACTGACAATTCCCTGATGTCCTAACATCTGGGCTTGAATGGGCCACTTGAGGGGGACAGGAGGCAAAGCGTAGGGCCCAAGCAAAAGGAGATTGGATGGGAGAGCTCTGCATAAAGCCAGAATGCAAAAGGGCAATTAACTAGTAAATCAACTAGGAAAAAAGAAAAAAGAATAATGGCTATTAAACAGTGCTTGCCACTGTGGACTATTTCAACCTCTTTACACAAAGGGCAGTCTTTAACATCTGAGCTCACCAGACACCTCCAAACTTTCACTCCGACTCCAGGTCAAAGCCATAGCAGAACACTCTCAACTTGAATCTTGAACAGGAGTCAGACAACTATGTTACTGATGACTGTATATACTGATCTACCTCAGAGAGAACATGGGCAAGACCAACTACCTGTCCTGAGCATGGACCCGTTATTATGGGCTGAGGCAAATAACCTCAGACTTGATCAGAACTTACTCGGTCCCCAATTTTTAAATCTTAAAAAAAAACTCAGACACAATCAGAATTCTCAGAAAGGCCCAGAGAGAGCAAACTCTTTTCTAACTATCATAAAAACAGATTCCTCTTTACTATTTCTCGTTGATGAGCACAGCTCGCAGATAGTCACATGAGTCACATCCTGCCACAGTGAAGAGGAATAAATGGCCCTCTGTGTCCTCACCATGAGGTTCTCTGGTCCTAGTACAGAAGTGGCCTCACGGAGCAGCCACTGAACCTGTTAGCCTACACATTAAGCCCTATGCAAAATTTGCGTGTCTGGGCCATCCACAGGGATGTAAATAAGCAATACATAGTTCAATTTCAATTGTCAATAGTGTAACTCATTTATAGTGTTATATGCAGGCAAATCACAGGGACCAAATAGGAGGAAGACCAGATCAAAGGCTAACATGTACTAGAAGCTACAATGATCTTTTGTACTAGAAACAAATCATTGTGACAGGGGTCCTGGAGTGTTTAATAGTTACCTCGTCCCAATTTTCTGGCATAAAATTCCAGGGTTCTAATCAAGTAGTCACACGCAGGATACACCCACTCAGGTTTCAAGAATTCAACTTAACAGAAAGTTTCATTGAAAAGTCCTATTCCTGCTTACATGCATTTCTTTTTCTCACCCCTCCAGGGCCACTGAGTGACTTGAGATGAGGCTCAGGTGTAGTACTTGGCACTTGTGCCTCAGGACGTCCTCTCAGAGTACCCCTGTCCTGGTTGTCTATGGGAGTAATAATCTCCTGCATCGTGTGCACTGATTGGAAGAGGAGGACACTTTTTCTTGCATTAAATGCTTAGTTATATAAACACTGATACCACATACTCTAAGTGTACTCTTTTTGGAAAGAATTTTGGAAAGTGAACAATAACCTACCATACTATAGAGCAGCGGTTCTCAACCTGTGGGTCGCGACCCCTTTGGGGGTCAAACGACCCTTTCACAGGGGTCGCCGGGTACTCGTATGTGGGCGTATCTGCATGTGGGCCTGGAGACGGATAGAGGAGCGGTGTCTCAGTTCCTAAGACCATCGAAAATATATGTTTTCCGATGGTCTTAGGCGACCCCTGTGAAAGGTTGAGAACCACTGCATAGAGTAATGAATAAAGGGAAATTCCTTGTTATGTAGTATTATGACTATGAATAATCATTATTGAAGGAAACGTGTTTGTTTTAGTAGGAATCCATGTTGTTTTTGCATAAACGGTTGCTATTTGGGCTGTGCAGGAAGCCCATAACATTTTCTTCCATTGAAGTAAGTGGTAATTGTGTTTTCAGAAAGTGAGAGAATGCAGTTCTTGGGTACTCGTTTGAGTACTTTAACAGAAGCAAAAGCAATTGTGTTTTGGTAGTGTTGGCACTACTTGATTACTGTTTGACTTCAAATTAATAAGAGAATAGAATTACAGAAAGGACGTTTTAAATATTCACACAAAAATGTTATTTCTGCAGGATCTGAAGTGTTACAATGTGGTACCACAGTTTCCAACTTCCTTTTAGCTGTGCCACCCTTTAAGGAACCCTTACCTGGAAGTCTAATGTGTAAGAGAGACGAGAGCAAAGCCATGCTGGGTAAGGGAATAGGAGCAAGAACAGAACTGGACCCTACTCTTTTCCCCTATAGACAGCCCCACAGAGCCCCCGGGGCTCTCCCACACACCATTATAAAGCCAACACAGGAATGAAAGGAGCCCGGCAGAGGTGAAGCAATACAAAACGGCCTCCTGACTCCCAAGCACATTGGAGACCAGCCAGGGAAGTGAGCTGACATCTTTATTAGGTGGCAAAGGCTGCCAGACTTTGAGTTTCAGCTTGAAAGTAATAAGCCAGGATGTGCTCTGAAGAAATTTACAATAAAATCAATCTCATTGCACTCAAGCTGCCTCGCAGCGAGGATCCAAACTGTGACACAGTTATATGCATGTTAACATATGGTACATCTACCCTGTCTCAACAGGGGCCTAAACTCACACCAGATATTAGAGTCCTAGAAGTCTGTACTCTTAAAAAAAGAGATGGTTGGGGCAGCCGGGTGGCTCAGGTGGTTAGAGCGTGAGCTCTGAGCAACAGGGTTGCTGGTTCAATTCCCACATGGGCCAGTGAGCTGTGCCCGAGCTGAGCTGCTGCTGAGCTGCCGATGGGCTGCTGGATGGCTCAGTTGGTTAGAGCGCGTGCTCTGAATAACAAGGTTGCCGGTTCGGCTCCCTCATGGGATGGTAGGCTGCACCCTCCGCAACTAGATAGAAAACGGTGACTAGACTTGGAACTGAGCTGCGCCCTCCATAACTAAGATTGAAGGACAACAACTTAACTTGGAGCTGATGGGTCCTGGGAAAACACACTGTTCCCCTTCCCCAATATCCCAATAAAATCTTTAAAAAGAGAGACAGAGACAGAGACAGAGACAGAGACAGAGACAGAGACAGAGACAGAGACAGAGAGAGAGAGAGAGAGAGAGAGAGACAGACAGACAGAGGTGGTATGCACAATAAAATAAATCTAACAAGGCGCTTCTCTCTGTGCCAAAAAGAAAAGTAACATGAGAGAAAAGTTTCTCAGGTGTGGAGGATGAGCCCTCCGTCATTAGGATGCCCTGGCTGTACCTGCAATGATCCCGTCCATCTGCTCCAGGGCAGCTTCCAGTGCGTGACTGGCATCAGAAGCCATGACTCCTTCCTCCTGCTTAATCTCTGCCTTCTCTCACTGAAAATTCAAATATAGAACAAAGTAAAAGTTACAGAGCATTCCACATTATGCACACAAGACCACAAAACCCTCTTATTCCATCTTTGTACAGCGCATGCTCATAAGAATCCTCGGAGCCGATCTGTGGTTTCTGCCATCCCTATGGCCTCTCCCTCCTGGCACAAGTGCTCTTTTCCCATGATCTTTAGCACAGGATCCCACTCACTTCTGTAATGAACAGTCACTAGGGCTCTCCAGAGTCACCTGTAGCAGCGAGATAGCAATTGCCACTGTTGGCCATCATTATAGTCCCAGGCTCTAGAAGCTCCCACCACCACTGCGGAGGGGAAGGCTCCCCTATGTGCGGGTCATGGCAGGCGTTTAGCTGGCTTGTATCTGCATTTGTCTCACACTTGCAACGCTTTCCTAGGGCAGGTGTGATCCAGGCTGAGAGGCCTCAACTACCACTTTTACTTTTCGAATGGCCCAATGTTCCCACCTAGGAAGGCTGCAGGTGCACTGTCTTGGGGAGAGTACTGTCCCAGGAACCAGGAGCACTGTCTCTCACAATTTTAGTACTACTCTACCCAGCACCATTCTACTCTACCCAGGTGCAGAATTCCACCTTCTCGGGGCTGGAGAACTTCTCCAAGGATATGTGGTCCAGCCGCTCCCCTAATGCTGATTCTCCCCTCTAACAGGAGAGATGGCAACAGGTTCCATCCCCAGACCACTCCGACTCTAGTCTTTAGGCTAAACTGTCTTCCTGCAGCCTCTTCTCATTTTTCATGCTTCCCACCCCCTCCCCCTGGATCACAGCATTTGTAATCCTAGGAAGAGACTTAGCTCATGTCTATAAACTGGAAGCAGGAGGAGCTGTCATTCGCTCATTCAGCAAAAGCTAGGTGTGTGCCCAGTGGGCACAAGTACTGTGGAGAACAGAGGCATGGCTCCCATACCCGAGAGTGGCACCGGTCAGGAAACAGGAGTTCCTAAGAGTCTCTGCTCATTCACCCTGTGATGTTGGACTTTTGGAGTAAAGAGAGGGAAGTGAGCAGCCACAGATAAGTAGCTTAGGAGATCGGTATGGATAAGAATGTTAGGACCATTGTGTATATATACCACATCTTCTTTATCTAGTCATCTATCGGAGGACAGTTTTGTTGTTTCCATGTCTTGGCCACCGTAAATGAAACTGCAGTGAACACCGGAGTACATATATCTTTACGGATAAATGTTTTCAGATTTTTTTGGCAGATACTCAGGAGAGGGGTTGCTGGGTCATGTGGTAATTCTATCCTTAATTTTTTGTGGCATCTCCACACTGCCTTCCATAACGGCTGCACCAATCTGCATTCCCTCAACAGTGTATGAGGGTTCCTTTTTCTCCACAGCCTTTCTAACACTTGCTATTATTTGTCTTGTTGATGATAGCCATTCTAACTGGTGTGAGGTGATATCTCATTGTGGTTTTTATTTGCATTTCTCTGGTGATTAGTGATGCTGTGCATCTTTTCATATGTCTATTGGCCATATGTATGTCCTCATGGATGGATCTTGAAATTATTATGCTAAGCAAAATGTCAGACAGAAAAAGTCCATCATATGATTTCACTGATATCTGGGATATAAAACTGAAAACAACAAAGGAACAAGACAAACAAATTAAGAAACAAAAACTTATAGACACAGACAATAGTTTAGTGGTTACCAGTGGGTAAGGGGGAAGGGGGTGGTAGATGAGGGTAAAGGGAGTCAAATACATGGTGATGGAAGGAGAACTGACTCTGGGTGGTGAACACACAAGGCAACATATAGATGATGTATTACATAATTGTACACCTGAAACCTATGTAACTTTACTAACCCTTGTCACCCCAATAAACTTTAATTAAAAAGCAAACAAACAAAACAGAATGTTAGGAGCACAAAGAACCTGTACCAGGCAATAGCAGTTAAACAGCCAGGGTTCAAACCCAGCTCTGCCATTTACTGTGTGATCTCTGAGCCTCGGTATTCTTATAGGGATAATAACAGCACCTAACGCACAAGGTTGATGTCATGATTAAACGAGGAATTAATATTTCATAGAAAATGTTTAGTGCATTCCCTTGCATGTAGGGAGGACTCAATGTTAGCTTTTTTTTTTTTNTAACTGTGGTTTCCCCATCTCTAATCTTTTAGGAAAGGGATGAAAGCAGCTGTCCACAGCCACCTCCCCTGCAAGCCTTCCATGCGTCTGGGCCTCTGAGGGCATCTCCATTCTGTAAGCCCTGAAGAAACCTGTGCAGATTTACTGATCAAACAAAACTACCCATCATCAGGGGAAACAAAGGCCTGGAAGCCAGTGGAGGCTGGGAGGAGGAGGTGGCAGCAGATGGCCCACATCCCTCTCCATGTCCCCATGCTCCGAGACCCAAAGGATGGTCTTCCCCAACAGATGGTGCTCTCTGTCCTACCTCAGCGATGTCACCATAGTCACCAAGCCAGAAACCTGGGCGTCATCCCTGGCCTTCCCTTCTCTCACCTACAGCCAGTTAGTCACCATTTCTGGTCAAGTCTCCTTCCTCACCCCCTCTCAGATCTGTCCCCTCATCTTCACCTTCCCTGCTTCAGGCCACATAATTTCCCATCAGAATGACAGCAATGGCTTCCTGACCGGTTTTCTTGCCTGCAGCACCCCACCACCACCACCCCTCCTACCCCCACACACCTCACCTTCTGCACTGCTGCCAGGAGGATGAGTCTATTTCACAAATCCTATCACGGCAGTCCAGGGCTTGCACAACTCTTCACCTGCTTCCCATCACCCAGAGAGGAGGTAAACAACCCATGAGATTGTCAAGACTGATAGTCAGGCCTGCATTTGAACCCATGTTCTTTCCGTCAGGGGCAAGGCCCTTGGAAAAGTTCCTCAACATCGCTGAGTTCCATTTTTCCTATTTATATAAAATGTGGGTGAAAATATACACATGGTGCAATTGTGGGAATTCAATGAGATAGTATATATAGAAGTCCTTTGCACATAACGGGGAGGGAATTTGCAACCAATGCAGCAATAATTCTCTCAGNATAGTCTTAAAACCTGGGCTCTGCTGCTAATGGCTGTAGGTCTTTAGACAAGTTATTTAACCTCTCTGAGCCTCAATTGTCTCATCTATAAAATTAGTATAAACCAATCTCATTGTTATGAGGGCAAGTAAACAGGACAGACCTCAGGTTAATACAGCAGAGTGAAGCCAAGCATCTAATTTAGCTACACACTGAAACAACAGCAGAGGAATTTATTTTGAAAAACATATATCCGCAAGGTCATGGAGAATGTGATAGGAGTCATAAGGGAGATGCCATGGCGACAGCTATGCAGCAAGCATAAAAGGCAGCCGGTCCATGCTGGAGCTAATGGAAGCTGCACTGGCAGGATGGGGAGTGGGGGTGGAAAGTGTTTGGGAGTGAGCAGTGGGGGTAGGAGTGGAAAGAGAGCTGATTCCTCATCTTCTGACTGGGAACTCAGAAGTCACTGCATAGGACAAACACAGCAAGTGGCAGAACAAGCACTGTTTTTAGTGACTTAGATAAAAAATACTAAAAGAATTTTAAATGGCTGCATCTGAGCAAAAGCAATGGGGATGGGTTGGTGAGGAGATGGCTGTTTTAATAAGTCATATACAATTATCTGACTCTTTAAATTGTGTAGATATATAGTTATGATAAAAATAAAAACAATCAAAAAGATTAAAACAGATAGTAGTGTGGTGTGCCTGGCACAGGGTAGGGATTCAGTTAACATGTACTCCTTTCTCCTCTTGGGCAGGTAGGTATCTGTTAGTTAGTTACTAGCTAAGAGTCTATCCAACATTATCTCAATCTCCACACACCACGCAGTAATCACTCTCCTCCTTTTACAGGTGAGCAAACAGATTAGGCAACTCGCCTGAGGATGCACACCTTTCTTCCTCTCATTTTTCCACACTCTGAGATGGGAACCCAGAGGAAGGCTTTGAGCACAGGAGGATCTCACTTACCTTGCAAAAGGAATGCTTTGGATGGAAACAACCTAGGTGCCCATTGATGGATGAATGGATAAAGAAGATGTGGGGGGAAGGGGGAGGGTGTGTGCGCGCGCGCGCGTGTGTATGTGTGTGTGTGCGCGCACATGTGTGTGTGCCACGTGCACGTGTATATTTACTATTCAGCCATAAAAAGGAAATCTTGCCATTTGCAACAACATGGATGGATCTTGAAATTATTATGCTAAGCAAAATGTCAGACAGAAAAAGTCCATCATATGATTTCACTGATATCTGGGATATAAAACTGAAAACAACAAAGGAACAAGACAAACAAATTAAGAAACAAAAACTTATAGACACAGACAATAGTTTAGTGGTTACCAGTGGGTAAGGGGGAAGGGGGTGGTAGATGAGGGTAAAGGGAGTCAAATACATGGTGATGGAAGGAGAACTGACTCTGGGTGGTGAACACACAAGGCAACATATAGATGATGTATTACATAATTGTACACCTGAAACCTATGTAACTTTACTAACCCTTGTCACCCCAATAAACTTTAATTAAAAAGCAAACAAACAAAACAGAATGTTAGGAGCACAAAGAACCTGTACCAGGCAATAGCAGTTAAACAGCCAGGGTTCAAACCCAGCTCTGCCATTTACTGTGTGATCTCTGAGCCTCGGTATTCTTATAGGGATAATAACAGCACCTAACGCACAAGGTTGATGTCATGATTAAACGAGGAATTAATATTTCATAGAAAATGTTTAGTGCATTCCCTTGCATGTAGGGAGGACTCAATGTTAGCTTTTTTTTTTTTNTTTTTTTTTTTTTTCAAGTGAGGAGATAACCTCAAGATGTATTGGTGTCAGGAGAGCTCAGTAGATGAGAGACTTTAAACTAAACTCAGGGAGGGAGAACCCAGATAACCCCAAGAGGCTGTCTCCTTTGAAGGATGGAGGTACGGCAAAGAAAGATAAGCAACCATGCATGTGGAAGGGGAG